AGCTTTGAGAGAAATACAAAAAAAACAAGAACCCTAATTTTTTCTGTATATTCTCGTAATAAGCTTTCATTATTATCTACAGGTCATTAGATTACATATATGTGAGATTTGGTTCTTTCTTTATTATATACATGTTCTTAATTGTTTGTAACATTGTCTGGATTTAGTCCTCATAGATTGACACTTTGGATCCGATTGGTGACTAAATTTTATTGATCAAACAGATCCTGATGCGGAAGTGGTAGCCTTATCTCCAAAGACACTAATGGCTACAAACAGATTCATATGCGATGTATGTAACAAAGGGTTTCAAAGAGAACAAAATCTACAACTTCATCGAAGAGGACACAATCTCCCATGGAAGCTTAAGCAGAAGTCAACCAAAGAAGTGAAGAGGAAAGTGTATCTTTGTCCGGAGCCCACGTGCGTCCACCATGACCCCTCACGTGCTCTCGGTGACCTCACCGGAATCAAGAAACATTATTACCGTAAACACGGTGAAAAGAAATGGAAATGTGAGAAATGTTCTAAGCGTTACGCTGTTCAATCGGATTGGAAAGCTCACTCTAAGACTTGTGGTACTAAAGAGTATCGATGTGACTGTGGTACCATCTTCTCTAGGTAACTAATCTCTATCCATTTCATTTAAATAATTTGTTCGTATTTGGTTTTTAAGTGATGAAACGTATAATATATATGCTTGTGGTATCTAGATATACCCTCTTATCAAGTATAACAATGGACCATCATTTTTTTGTACTCTATTGAAAAACTATTCTAAGTAAAAAGCTGCATTCAACACTGCATGTAAGACTTAGCTTATTTACTAATTTACATAAAAAATACCAAATATATATAATCATCTGTGTTGAAATCTTATATATTTGGCCACCGAATTTGAAACCTCGATTACACCGCCCATAAAATGTTATAGTGACTATGTTCATAGGATCTATCAATGTATTTGTTTGATGGTTGATGAGTAGTGAATAGAGAAAGACAGTGAAGAGAAAGTGAGTAAATTTTAAAAGATGCTAAATTTGGTCACATGTATGAGTTGGATTTGTT